AGCTGATCCCCGGAGTGCGCGCACTGAGCCCTCGGGCCTCTACAGCTCATAAACAGATGTGTCCTTGTCCCCAGCCAAGCACAGCCACTCAAGTGGCAAAGCAGGGGCCCAATAATTGAGAAGAATTGAAAGCTAAATATTGGCTTTATCTCCTCAGTAATAAAAGGGCCATGAAATTGATTTAATGCTGCAGCGCTCCTCTTGGGTGGCTTCTTACAGTGTGAGCACAAAACAATGAGCAGCAGCCATCTATTAATTAACCCACCTAATCCTGCAAAGTTAATCTCTCACCACAACTTTGCCCGCAACTAACTTCCAAGCCATTGGGTCTACTGGGGGTGTCATGACAAAGGCAGTGAGGGAGAGATGGTTTCAGCCCAGAGAGAGAAAAGGGAGGGAAGGCATGCGGAAAAACCAGCTATTGTGGACATTATTAGCATAGTACCAGAGAAGATTTGTGTTTTCACAAAAAGAGGCGAAGTGAAGAAGTTAGTAGTGTCTGGTGCCGCTGAAATGCTGCTGATTATCATTGCCTTTTGTTGTCATTTGGATTCCTTTTGCCCTTTCAACGTGCTACCTTCATCCCCTTTCTTCTGCTCAAAGCTGTTAGACAGTTAGGATAAAGTGAGATTCTTTTTTCTTCTTCACCTGCCTGGCAGTCACAGCTTGATGGCACCTCACATTCATGCTCTTAGTGTGTGGACAGACTTGTGAATTACCTCCTTCTCACAGCCTGATGAAAAGCTCTGTTTTCTCTTTGGCTGTGGCTAGGTTGACCCTGCCCTCTCACCTCCTTCTCCGCCTGCGCTCATCGCTCTTTTGTGTGAGCCCCTTGTGGTAGAGGAGCTGTATAAGGCTGGCTCGGAAAATAGGTCACCTGCTGGTGCTCCTATCACCTCTACAGCATTCAAAAGAAAAACCTCCAAGGTGTCCTGTGCCATTTTGTAATGTCTAAAGCAGAGCCTCAGAAATCAGACCAAAGCAGACATGAAACACACTCTTAGTGCTCAGGCACACAAGAAATGTCACATTCAAATGGAGGGAATCTGGTGAGTGAAGCATTTCCTGTGGAGATAATTTTAGGAGTCTGATTAAGAATCAGAATCAGAATCAGAATCAGAATCATTTTTATTGCCAACGTAAGTAACAGGAGGTCACAGACTTGGAAATTGCTTTGGCTCAGTGCAACAGTCAAAAAGATATAATAAAAATAAGAATAAAAAACACTTCTAAAGAATAAATTTAAATTTAAAATAGAGTTACAGTTACTATTTACAATATACAAGTGCACATGGTGCACACAATGTAAGGTGACAGCAGTACAGTGAAGTAAAGTGACGTATGATGGGCAGTAAAGTGACTTTATAAAGGGCGGGGGGACAGGTTACGAAGTGTTCAAGAGTCCAACAGCAGAGGGGAAGAAACTGTTCTTGTGGCGGGAGGTTCTAGTCCTGATGGACCGCAGGCCTCCTGCCTGAGGGGAGTGGTTGGAATAGTCCATGTGCAGGGTGAGAGGGGTCGGCTGTGATACGACCAGCCCGGCCTCGAGCTCGGGCAACGTACAGGTCCTGCAGCGATGGAAGGCTGCGGCCGATCACTTCCTCTGCAGAGCGCACAATGCGCTGTAGTCTCTGTTTGTCCCTGACTGTGGCTCCAGCGAACCACACGGTGATGGAGGAGGTGAGGATGGACTCGATGATGGCCGTGTAGAACTGCACCAACATCTGTGCAGGCAGCTTGGCTTTCCTGAGCTGCCGCAGGAAGTACATCCTCTGCTGGGCCTTCTTGATGAGGGAGCTGATGGTCGGCTCCCACTTGAGGTCCTGGGTGATGGTGGTGCCCAGGAAACGGAAGGACTCCACAGAGGTGATGGGGGAGTCCATCAGGGAGGGTGGGGGCGGGGGGACAGTGCTCTTCCTGAAGTCCACAATCATCTCCACTGTCTTCTGGGCGTTCAGCTCCAGGTTGTTACCACTGCACCAGGACACCAGCCGGTCCACCTCCCTCCTGTAGGCGGACTCATCGTTGTTGGAGATGAGTCCAATGAGGGTGGTGTCGTCCGCGAACTTGATCAGCTTCACGGAGTCGTGGCTGGAGGTGCAGTGGTTGGTGTACAGGGAGAAGAGCAGGGGAGAAAGAACACAGCCCTGTGGGGCTCCTGTATTTATAATCCGAGAGTCCGAGACATTCTTCCCCAGACGCACTCGCTGCTTCCTGTCCGTCAGGAAGTCAGTGATCCACCTGCAGGTGGAAACGGGCACGTTGAGCTGGGAAAGCTTGTCCTGGAGCAGGGATGGCAGGATTGTGTTGAAGGCAGAGCTGAAGTCCACGAACAGGACCCTGGCGTAGGTCCCCGGGGAGTCCAGGTGCTGTAGGATGTGGTGGAGGGCCAGGTTAATGGCGTCGTCTACAGATCTGTTGGCTCTGTAGGCGAACTGCAGGGGGTCCAGGAGGGGGGAGGTGAAGGACTTGAGATGGGAGAGAACCAGGCGTTCAAATGACTTCATGACGACAGACGTAAGTGCTACAGGTCTGTAGTCATTGAGTCCTGTGATCCTGGGCTTCTTCGGGACGGGGACAATGATGGAGGATTTGAAGCAGGCCGGGACATGGCAGGACTGCAGAGAGGTGTTGAAAATGTCCGTGAACACAGGAGTAAGCTCACTGGCGCAGTGTCTCAGAGTGGCCGGAGACACGTGGTCCGGGCCAGGAGCTTTGCGGGGGTGCAGCCTCAGGAAGAGTTGTTTAATCTCTTTAGAGGCTATTGTTAGGCTGGGGGCAGGGCTGATGGGTGGGTCGTTAGAGTAGTGGGGGGTGGGGGAGGGAGAGGTGTCAGGGGCAGCATCAAAGCGACTGAAAAATAAGTTCAGATCGTCAGCTAGCTTGTGGTCATCAGCACAGGGGGGGGCTTTGGGTTTGTAGTTGGTGATCTCCCGTAGGCCCCTCCAGACAGAAGCAGTATCGTTGTTACCAAACTGCTCCTGTAGTCGTTCTCTGTGCCGGGACTTGGCTGCTTTCAGTTCTTTCCTGAACTGATATTTAGCTGCTTTGTAGCCGCTGCGGTCCCCCTCCCTGAAAGCAGACTCCTTTGCTTTCCTGAGCTGCCGGAGTTTAGCAGTGAACCAGGGTTTGTCATTGTTGTAGATGACCCTGGTCCTTGTTGGAATGATGCTATCCTCACAGAAGTGAATGTATGACGTCACAGTGTCCGTATATTCATCCAAACTGTCTGTGGCAGCTCTGAAAAGGTCCCAGTCTGTAGATTCCATGCATGCGCGCAGCTCTTCCACAGCTTCATCAGACCACACTTTGGAGCTCCTCACTGCAGGTTTCGAGAGCTTTAGTCTCTGTCTGTAAGCAGGAACCAGATGTATCATGGAGTGATCTGAGAAGCCGAGGGCTGGCTTGGGAACAGCGCGAAAAGCTCCGCGCACGGTGGTGTAACAGTGATCCAGAGTGTTCTCCTCTCTGGTCGGGCATTTGATAAACTGTCTGTATTTGGGTAATTCCTGGCTCAAGTAAGCAGGGATGGTGTAAGGCCTAGAGTGAGGAATCTCATCACCACCGCTAATGACATGCCTTTCGTGTGCTGAACGAGAAGCCGGGCCCAGGGCTTGGACAAGCCTACGTCAGGCCACCTCCAGCTACCGTGTTCATTAAGGCCAACATTGTAATTACAATTCACTGATAGTGCTTAGGCTTAATTGCTGAATGATTATTAGGCTGATTTTTGTCAGACTAATCACATGCTTAAGATGGGGATTTCTACTTGTACACTTTGAAACCCATATGGTTCTTTCAAATCACTGTTGAAATAGAATAAATTCCAAATTTAAATTGATAAATGTTTACAGAAATGTTCTGTAAATTAACACAACATATTCTTGTTTGTGTAACTGTGAAGATCACTGTAAAAAGAATCAATAGTATTTCCACTGTTATCTATCTGATCTGTATGTCTTCTGCTTGAATAGCTGGCCGGAGGGAGAGTATGTAGCCCAGAACATTACAGTGGCTGGTTTGTATTTCATAGAAACTTCCTCTAATTGGGATCAGTCTTGTACAAAAAGCAGGAAGAGTCCCCAGAGTTGGCACCATTATGCCGACATCTTTGCAGCTGAGAAGTGGCCATAATCTTTCTTCCAAAGAATGTGACATAAACAGCCTCTGGAGCCGCACTGCTCCTCTCTAATCTAATCAGGGAATTTACAAAGACTGCAAAACTGTGGCCAAAATCACATTCTCTTCTTGTTTGTTGGCGAGGAAAATGTTATGATTGTTATTCATTGTGAATACAAAAAAATACTTATTTCTGTTATCTCTCCTGTTCATTTCAGTAATCTGGGGAAAGGAAGATAGTTGTGCACATTAACTATGTTTTAAAATTATCAAATAATGTTTATCATCCCTTAAAATTGAGTCACATCACTGATCAGTGAAAGTATTAGAGCAATATAACTTTAAAAGCAGAAGTTCACATCGTGTGTGGTTGATACCTGCAAATTACTTATGGCACTTATAGGACTGATACCAAACCCTGTGAAAACCAGTGCTTAGAGCAATTGCTTTGGATTAGATGTTGTAATTATCAAGAATAGATGGATGAGTCTGTGTTCTTCTTGTTTTATGAAGTCATGTGATGTTAATCATGTTCATTCATCAAAATACGTTTCAAGTTGTGTTTTCAAAGCACACTGACATTGCCAGAGCCCTGGCACTGTGTCTGTCAGGATTTCTCCGTTTTCCAACGTCTGTAGTTGAGTGTAAAGCTTGGTGAGTTGCTTGTGGCCATATTTGAGTTTCTCTGTGTGGATCAGTGGCTCTGCAGGGCTTTGGAATATCACAGCGGCTTCTGTAGCCTAGTGTGCTGATAGATGTCGCCCCTGACATCAGCCTCCGTCTTCTGACAGCTATAGTTTTATCCTCTGCTCCGAGTGCTGCATCACCGCTTTGGGACCCACTCATCCACATGCGCCTCTGTATGTGTGTGTTTGCTATAGGCTTCCCGGCGACAGCGTATGGACCGGTGGCGGCGGCAGCAGTAGCAGCAGCGCGTGGCTCAGGTAGGGGGGCCCGTGGAAGAGGCGGATACTTGGCGTACCCACAGAGCGCAGGGCCAGGTAAACGCTCTGTCCGTGTGCTGTGTGCAGGCTCTCTCCCAAAACTCCTGCTTCTCCCCATAGACTCTGTCCACCAGGCCCCTGCACCCACTGCCCCTCACACAGACAGGGTAGACCACACAGGCGCCACACTTACACACACTGCCTCCTCTAATTTACAGCTCAAGTTCAATTTGAAAAGCTTCTAAACTATTCATCATAAATAATCTCCAAACTCCAACTTAATATTGCATATTCATCAACACCGATGATGAATAGCTTTACAGTCTTACAGTTATAACAAATGTAACTGTCAAATAAAGAATGAATTGATAATTGTTACAGTAGTTCAATATGCATCAATACATAAGGAGGTTGTTTTGCATTTGTATACATACATGTCCATAGTTACATACCACTTTTCATTTGATAAAATACATGTACCAGCAGGCCTACAGTATTTTACCATTTAAATAATTTAAATGTACCCACAAAATTTGATGGTGTGTTTGTTTTCTTGTTTGTCACTGCGTCATAGTCTCTAAACATTTTCCGTGACCTATTTTGGTTGTTGTGTAAGAGGTTCACCTCATCCACTTGACTGATGCATTTTTTTAGTCGGAAAATTGGTCATTTTAGGTCATTTTTAGTTTTAATTCTTTGTTTTTGTCTAACATGAATGGACACATTAATAATCTGTGGCCCAAGACATGAGACTTGACCTTATGTATTCATCCTAAACACATCACTGTGCAGGCCGTATGTTTGCAAGTGTTGCATCTGGAGCCTTTCAAACACACTCTGGGGGAAAATTATGAAGCCAAGTTAAATCTAGGTTTTAATATTAATTGCACTTTCACTTAATCACTTGACTTTAGAGGCTTCTCTCGTCTAAAACCCCAGGTTATAATTAGAATAGGGAGTATTTCACAAGCAATCACTTCTACCATTTAGCTTGTTACACTTTCTAAATGTGTTGTGTAGTTTAATGTCTTTATTTCTTTTCAGTGTTTTGTGTGCATGTTTCCAAGTATTTATCACCTTATGACTTACATGTATTTAAAGCTGCACTTCCACCTGCTTGTCATTATAATCTTGGCTGTAATGTTACACTGTTTGGCATTAAACTATGCTGGTGATTTATACCAGGCCAAGTAACAAGGTGAGCTTTCTCATGAAAATAATGGGTGTTTTTATCCAAGGTTTTCGCACTTACATATATTGTTTAGTTTAATGCCATTCCAAAGAAACATTTGTGGCAAAGAAGTAATGTAATTATCTCTGAACACAAGCAGTTTGTGGACCATCCACCAGGAAGAGTGCATCTTTAATCTGGGCAACCTCAAAGTATAACCATCTTGGTTTAGACTCAAATAACTGAACTTGTAACTGACTGCCAACTGTTTGCTAGGGATCAGAAGACCTCAATACATAACTAATCAATACCAATACAAATCGTATCTTTGTGTTTTTCCCACACATGCAAGACTAGAAGCAGCAGATGAGAGCAAAAAGCAAGACCATGTTACACTGTCTTTACACAGCATTTGTTGGCTTAATTTAGAGCTGCTGCTTTTCCCACTTTTACTTTACTATAAATCCAATAGCCATTAGCAGGAGTTGTCTTGACTGCTTTATAAAAGCATTGTTTTCCTGCAAAAAGATAATGCTTTGAACTGCAATAATAGACAGGTGTAGGTCAGTTGGTAGGGTGTGTGCCTGCTGATGCCAAGGCGATGACAAACCACTCTTCCACTTGTGTCCGATCCCTTTCCAAAGTGATCAGACACAAGGTTTATGAAAGGTATTGTCCTTAATTTAGACAAAATAGCTCCTTGATTGATATATCGGTTGATGGCCAATAGTTAAAAACCTAGGTTTTTCACATGTACACATTAACCCCATGTAAAAGATATGGGGTATTAAGAATATTGACATTTCTCCTGGATAAACGTTCAAGCGTTCAAACGTTTACGAAGACTTTGAAAGCAATATTCACACTTCAGTCCCAAATGATCCAGACTAATTCACTTTAAGGCCCTGTTTACATGGAGACATAGCCAAGCAATTCACTAAAACGACCCAAATCCGGATTCGAAGTCCAAAGAGTCTATACGGCAAGTGAAAACGATGTCGTTGTAGCGCCCAGTCAGTAGTGTGCACCTGTGTGACAGCCGCCAGTATAACCACTTCCTCAACAGTATCCTCCTCAGGCCCCTGCCGCACAGCGCAGCTGTTTTGTTCCACTCTGGAGGCTGTTTTTCAATGTATGCGTTTTCACCCCTATGAAACTCCAACGCTGTGTGAACGAAAAGCCAATTCCCTAGTCAACTCTATCGTCTTTCTGTCAAAGCGTCTCCGTGTAATATGTGGAGATGTGAAACCACCAAACTGACTGAAATCACTTCTGGAGCAATCGATACTTCTTTGGAGGTTACACATCTCCCCAGCATGTTTTCCCCAATTAGTTCAGTTAAAGGTTCTTCCAGGTGGATCATCAAGACTATTGGTCCTCCTAATTGTCAATCATTCTGGTGATATAAGGTCATCGTATGTGCTCAGAAAACAAGACCAGATTGTTTTTGGGAGATTCTTTCACTCAATGTTTTGCGTTGTAACCCCAGGTGGGCTTCCCACTGACGGCCTGTACACTCAAGAGCATTGAGTGGCACGCGCCTCTCTTCGGCAGAGTAAGCTCGTGTCATGCGGCTGTATAGACACCAGTAGAGCGCGCAGGGACGCAGCTGCTACTGCTCTCACTGATGCCTCAGACACAAAGTTTCTTCTCGACAGATAAAGTTGGGAATTATAGTTATAGAAATCCATTTCAAATCATTTCCAGTATAAGTTATCTATGTATATATTATCTGACATAGTGGAAAAAGTGCAAATCTTGTGAGCTTGTGTGAGCGATGCCGACAGTGACTTGTAAACAGAGCGTGCACGAGGAGAACTGGGTTTGTGCATTTTTTTCGCAAACGTAAGAGTTCCCTCTGGAGAGGGCAGTTCTTTTCTAGAATTTGAGAAAATCCTCCTATGCAATACACTTAAACTTGGGACTGAAGCTCTGAACATGCTCTAAGTTGTAACTTTAATCCTCCTCTGGACCAGGCTAAAAGCCTAAACTTACATATTAGGACTAAAACAGAAATGATAAGGCCATAGCCATTTGAGCCGAGCTTAGAAAGTAAGTTGGCTTTGAAACAGTGCACAACATCATGAATACTTTAGAATAAAAAATACAACATGGAACGCTTTCTTTTTCTCCGGGAGTACGGGGTCCGGGGTCCTCAACTGAGGGCCGTTCGGTCCCTGTATGACCGGAGTCAGAGCTGCGTTCGCATCGCCGGCAGTAAGTCAGACCTGTTCCCGGTACATGTTGGCCTCCGCCAAGGCTGCCCTTTGTCACCGGTTCTGTTCACTGTGTTCATGGACAGAATTTCTAGGCGCAGCCAGGGGTCGGAGGGGGTCCAGTTCGGAGACCACAGGATTTCATCCCTGCTGTTTGCGGACGATGTTGTCCTGTTGGCTGGGATGAGAATCAGCACCTCCAAATCTGAGGCCACGAAAGGTGCCCTGCCCTCTCCAGGTGGGTGGAGAGATCCTTCCTCAAGTGGAGGAGTTCCAAGTATCTCGGGGTCTTGTTCACACGAGTGAGGGAAGGATGGAGCGTGAGATTGACAGGCGGAACGGTGCAGCTTGCGCAGTGATGTGGTCGCTGTATCGGACCGTTGTGGTAAAGAGGGAGCTGAGCCGAAAGGCAAAGCTCTCAATTTACCGGTCAATCTTTGTTCCCTCCTTCACCTATGGTCATGAGCTTTGGGTAATGACCAAAAGAACGAGATCGCGGATACAAGCGGTCGAAATGAGCCAGCCACGGGCGCTCCCTTAGAGATAGGGTGAGGAGCTCAGTCACACGGGAGGAGCTCGGTGTAGAGCCGCTGCTTCTCCACATCGAGAGGAACCAGTTGAGGTGGCTCAGGCATCTGTTCTGGATGCCTCCTGGACGCCTGGGGAGGTGTTCCGGGCACGTCCCACCGGGAGGAGGCCCCAGGGAAGACCCAGGACACGCTGGAGGGACCATGTCTCTCAGCTGGCCTGGGAACGCCTTGGGGTCCCCCCGGACGAGCTGGAGGAAGTGTATGTGGATAGGGAAGGCTGGGCGTCTCTGCTTAGACTGCTGCCCCCGCGACCTGGCAACGGATGAAGCGGAAGAAAATGGAATGGAACGCTTTGTGACATTCCAATGTCATGTACAATCGTTAAGTACTAACATATTTTCATGTCCAAGTGTATTTCCTTCTCCTTGATTTCTGTAAATAGTTTTCACTAACATTCTGCATATTCAAAACAAACAATTTACAGGGAACAATTGCACTAAAACATCACTAAGGAGCAGGAATGTTGATTTAAGGGTTGGCGATGACAGCTGCAGCAGCCAGGAAGCAAGCAAGACGTGATAGCAACCATTATGTACAGTTTAATTCTGACAGCTGCAAATGGAGGAAGACACAAGTAAATGATTATGAACCGAGGGGCTTGGGGGAGGGAGACAAAGATGAAGGGTTAGACTGGTAAACACTGACATCATGGCCACTTTTACCAAACCATTTAAATATACAGCTTGGTTTTTCTTGCAATGTCTCACAGCCTCTCAAAAGCAGCTCCAATAAGGCCTCTCAATTCCCCTATTAGAATATAGTGATGTGATTATTACCATTATTTGTAGTCATTATCTCACTTTTTCTTGCAGAGGCCTTCACAAATATCTGTTTCACAATATCCCGCCACAGCTGCAGTCAATAGCTCTCAGCCTGCTGTATTTTTATCCCATCAAAAATGATTGATTTAGATTTGCGGATGATTTATTGTAGTGTTTTCAATAGTGCTAATAGGATACTCCAAAGAGCGATGTCCTCAGCTTCTCCCTTCGCTCTGGTACAGCTGTGTGCAGGAGGACATAGACTGTTTGACCTTCCTCTCTTGTCGTTTGGGGACACCTCCGCACCCCAATGTGCTGA